CGAGCGGCAAGCTTTTTTGACATTTTTTTCGGCGCGCCGCTCCACCTCTCGCTATTAGATGATGCCCCACCGTTGCCTGCCGAGTCCGGCCTGCCGCCTTCTACGCTCTTATTCGCTCAGACATTAAAATTAATTTCTCGATAACTATTGCGAATTTTGCAAAATGGTATAGGACTTTTCTATTCAGTTTGCCCCGGTCTATCTACCATCTACGGGACATACGGGTATTAGGACACACCCTGTATAGTGGATTAACAATATTTATAATATTTACGATAAATATATATCTATATAATACACAGAAAAAAGTGTCAGATCAACTCTTATATGTACTAAAATTAACGCGTTTATTGTTTTGTACATACGCAACAATTTATAGTCTTCTTAAAAGCATTTAATATAATCTTACTTTCCCACAATATTACAGTCTTATTTAAATACTATAATTGTCACTTCAAGAATACATCTAATTAGTTTGACAATAAAATCTAATTTAATCATTGTAATCTTCGATTTGAAAATGTTATTTTCTATTCAATATTGTTTCCTTTTGAATTATGTAAAATTGCTCCATTCAAATAAGTTTTTCTTCCTTTAACGCAATATAAACTAATTTCAAGATTTTCACGTTGAAACTAAACATATTTTCAAAAGAAGAATATTCTTTTTTTCCGTATATATGCAGAATGAGAATGAAAACTTAACTTAAAAACTTAACTAACTCATCTTATTTTTAAACTTATTTGTACGAAACATACCGAAACATAGTGATTTAATTTTTGAGCTAAACACATATTGTACATACATATATTAGGGCTACTTTTCTTAAATGGCAACAGAAGTCAGATGACATATTGTTTAAAAAAATGTTCTGTTCTCGATTGTATCTTATTTTATTAATTTAGGCGAATATTTATCGAAAAATCGCATTTGAAAGTCTTTGGAAGTAAAAACTGAACATTCACAGTTTACGGAAAGACATTTACTTTGGTAAAAAATGTTCGAAATGCAGCCCATGTATATACAGATTCCGTTTAAAGAGTTGTTGCTTACATTTTTCGTATAGATAAAATGTATCTTTTATAAATATATTTTTTAATACAAATATAAAAACAATATATTCTATAAATATTTTGCATTCTGTGATCACATATCTTTTGTTCTATCTTTTTTTATCATTTTACATCCATTATGTTTCTCTCCATTTCATGATGAGGCGGACTCTAGGATGGAAGCACTGCCTGCTACGAACAAAGTAGCCGTTCCATTCCAGATAATTGGCGTAATGCATTATTGCTCCTTATCGTCTCAACTGACTCATCTGACCCCCGTGCTCGTTGGGGAACTCATACATTTGCGCTATTAACTCACTTACCTTCGATTACTGTGTCTCTTATAACTGCTGGTCCAACGGAATGCGCCTTCACTTTGTGGAAGGCTCTGCATGATTTCCCTTTTGCTCGATTGTCGTGTATTGTTTCATCGACGATATTTAATTGTACATTTATCTTACGTATAATATTGGCTCTCTTTACATCTACGTACGGATTTCTAGATACTTGAATAATGGAAATTGGTAAAGAAATTATATTTTTAATTATACATATATGTATGTAGTTGCTTCATCAACTTATATTTTTCAATATACATATATACATGCATATTTACATACATATGTATACACATAGAGGTTTAAAGCGGACTGTCTGAATAACTCTTGAATTTTTTTAATGAAAAAAGAGATGCTTCAAACGAAACTTGGTTTACTTCAAAAGGGACGTCTGAAGATGACGATTTTGATTGTAGGTCGGGGGGACAAAGATATTTCAAAGTCACCAACTTATTTTAAATGAAATAATATACGAAAATATATCTCGTTTCAAGATTATTCAGAAGAAAACTAATTTATTTTAACAGAGCAAGTACTCTTCTTTAATTTACGATCGTAAATACACAGTGCTATTGTAAGTATTCAAAACGGTGACCTTGAGCATCGATGCATGCTCCAAAGAGATTCGATATAAAAAATACTGCATTTTGGATTTCATTTGTTATCGTAGAACATGCTCTTACACGGCACGGTAATTATTATCACACACCCTGGATATATGCATATACCCATACAGCACAGATGGTTGCAGTTACATTGCAGAAACGTTGCAATCTTGCAAAGACATTGCAGGGATATAAAATTGCAAACTTTCGATAGCAATGTTGCAGCAATGTTTCAAAAATAATAAAAATACTGTATTTTCTATTTAAAAAATTTTTCTAATTACGAGAATTTTATAATGTTATTTTCGTTGATACCAATAATGCGCGAATTATTAAGTACTTGATCAGTGCGGTGTTGCTCGCGATCTCCATCTATTGCGAAGCGACATAATCTCCTTAGGTTGCTTCGCAATAGCTTGCATTGAAAAAGGCCCGGATGCATATGTAATTAGTAAATTCTCTGCTTATGTACAACAACGACAAATTATTCCAAAAATATTGCACCGCAACATTGCTATAATGTTGCACTGCAATCTCTCTGAGGGCGGACATTTCAACGTTGCTGCAATCCTCCAGAAACGTTGCAGCAATGTTGCGCAACGTTGCTGCAATATTGCAATCTTGCAATGTAACATTTCTGCAATCTTCCTGCAATCTTTCTGTGCTGTGTGGGTATAGACACACGGTTTCTGTACATTTTTCTGTACACTATTAAAAGTTTATATCCTCTTGTAATTTCGAATTATTCTTTATTGTTGCAGGAAGCGGTAGCAAAGATGGGAAGGGCAGTAAGGATAACAACTCACCCTCCGGTCCTTATGCCGGTAAGTTGCATTATTACTTTCTTGCATCGATAATACTTCAAATATAAAAGTTTTGTCTCTTAAATATTTTCTCTCGTGATTATACCTTTGTCGAGGCAACTTTGTTGCTCCTGATCTAACGTCATTTCTTGAACATAAATTTAAAGCCGAAAAGACTAGCCAGATTCCAGTATCGGACTGGTAAAATATCTAAGAAACAAGGCATTCGACAATAAAAAATCATGTGAAGCATAAAAGCTGCAAAGCTTCAATAAATGTATCGAACAGCGATGCCTATTTAATCTTGGGCGCAATTTTGAAGATCTCAGGGTTAACTTTAAAATTCCAAATAAAAACTCCCATTCTCTTCGCGCGTGCGCATTCGATGATAATCAACGGCAATAAAATATCTTCATACCAATGCCATCGGATATCTACTGAGAAGCCGAGGATTTTCGGAGTACTTAGCGTGCTTTCTCTTAGCAAAAAAAAAAGAACCGAACGAGCTCTTAATCTCAACGTTAGGAAGTTAAAGAATCGCAGCATCGCGCGAGAAAATAAGTTGTCCGTCCGATTTATTTTGGTCGCAGATCCTCCTAGGCAATATTTCAACTGCTTCTTATTTGCCGGCTCTCTCTCGCTCTCTCTCTCTCTCGCTCTCGCTCTCGCTCGCTCTTCGGCAGTGGAGTCCGATTCAAAAATAGCCAAGTGTGCCAGCCCCCTGGAAATGAAATCCCTCGGTGTCACACAATCCGTTCACTCAGAGGGACAATGTAGCGAGCCGTCGCGCCGCGAACTTGACACCGCGATCAGTTTAATGAGGCTTAATACGAACTCTCATGGTACATGGATTATCAGTGAGGATCGGTTATTTCAATATTATTATCCCGTTATGTTCCGCATAAATTATTGTCGTATATGAAAAGAGCAACGTATAAATTTAGTACATTCTACATTTTCTTAAAACGCTATCTTCTTCTCTCGATATCACCCGCAATTATTACATTTACGTAAAATTCTATGAAAGAGAATTAAGAAATGCACTTGAGACTTAACTTAGCTAAAATAAGATATTGTTATGTAATCTTACAATTAGCTACTTGGTAAAAGTGAGAGAGAACTTTCAGAAGTTATCGGTTGTGGAAAAGTTACACATGACACATATCGGCAGGTTTAATATATAAATTATTGGATATCATATCAGATATGACACGAAACGATTATTTATTTTTATAGACAGCTGGCCTTTAGTGAACGCTGTCAGAAATATCTGTTCGCCCTGAGAACTTGCCTGTGTCTTTGGACGTCACCTGACTTTTTACTAACATCCCTAAAGAACTGATATTTGGGGATATTGAGAAACATTGGATTGAGATTTCACCAAATACTTTACTCAACTCACCCCAGTTCCTGCACGCTATCGAATTAGTTTTGAATTCTACTAGCTTTAAGTTGGACAATTCTACGAACAGATTTCCGGAAGTCCTGCGGGATCTCCTTTGTCACCGATTTTGGCTGACTTGGTCATGGATGACTTGGAGACGGACTGTTTACTATTAGATGTCCCTATTTTTTACAGATACGTAGACGACATTTTCACTGTTTTACCGGAGACTAAAATTAGCATCATTCTTTCTATTTTTAACAATTGCCATCCACGGTTAAAATTCACTCGCAAAATTAAATTACACAACTCCACTCCTTTTCTTGACGTAATATTAATTAGAGATAACAACAATAAAATATTGACGGTATCAAAACCAACTTTTTCTGTACGTCAGCTATTTTTTCAGCCATCCTTTTAAATATAAAATTAATAGTATTATTAGTCTCGATTTTTACCGTCCCAAAAAGATAGACTGACCAAAAGAGGTAAAGACCTACTGAATCGGGACAAAAGAAACGGAAGTCGTCTACTGTACCAAATGTAATAATTGTGTAGCTTCTTATATTGGTCAAACTAAACGACGCTTACAGACTCGCATTAATGAACACAAAAACGACATTAAGAAACACGAACGCTGCCACTCAGTCGTTAGCGGACATCGCGTATTACATGAGTTTAATTGGTCGGCACCAAAAATTTTACATAGCGAGCGTCCAACGAGGAAACGAGAAACCGCAGAAATGTTTTTTATCAAAAAGCTAACAACACTATTAATTTACAAACCGACACCGAATACTTAAGTAAATGTAATGTATGACTGTGTAATCAAATCTATGTAGGCCGTGACATCACCTTGTTTGTTGTTTTATGACGTTACCTACGAATCAGTTCCAATCGAACATCCGCAATGTTCGGATGTGCTCGTATTTTTGTCATTTGACTCTGTCTCATGACGATGACTCGCTTTGGTTCGCTAATTTATCTCCTTTCTTTTCACTCGACGACTAATTAATAATTTCAATCTCTTATACTCGTTGATTTGCAGTATCACTTGAAAAGGACCCAAATTAGGGTTGAAATGCGTTGGAATGCGTTAAATAAAGGAATCTGCCAGTTGGGTTGACAATAGGCTCCCTGTTTTAATTTTTAATTTTCATAGTTACCTCCGTTGCCCTAATTTGCTCAATACGAGAATTCAGGCTCGAGGAAAGTTTTATTCCATTTAAAGTTGAGATTACTTTTGTATCAGGACCTTCAATTAAACCGAAACTTCCTCATTTACAATCTCTGTGCGGTATAATAGACCAAGCGTTTAACTACGAAAGTCTCATTGATCTTTCCAATGGAATCTTTCTAAGGGACCTCTTTTAAGGGGATGCTGGAGTGATTCTGCACTTTTGCACCTTTCTAACCTAAAAACTGTCAGTTCGCGGAAACATTTGTGTAATATACAAATTAAAGGGCTCACGTGTACAGATCGAAAGCAGCTTACTATTCCGGCCAAATGAAAGAACAATATGGCATCATTGAAACTAAGTTTGTAAGTCTAATAAGAAATAATAGTGAGCAACACACATACTACATGTACTGTATGTATGTGTTGCTCACTATTATTTCTTATTAGACTTACAAACTTAGTTTCAATGATGCCATATTGTTCTTTCAT